CGATCGCTGGCAAGATCCTTGGCACGGGTGCTGGGTGGGTCTCTGTAGCTAGGGGCCTTGGAAACGGGGCAGCAGGAGTGCGGTATTCGGTGGCTGCGGGGACTCGTAGTCCGGTCTTAGGATCCATTTGGAGAGTGTCGGATAGTCCAGGAGTAGTGGGCCGTGGTGACTTGGAACGAGAGCGTGAGGCTGGCTTGGCATAGTGCCTCTCGAACTCTCCTAGGCGGACCCAGGCTTCTTGCGCGAGTGGCCCGGCGACTAGAGCGGCAAATTTCCTTCGGCGTTCATCGACCGTTCCTTCGCTGCCGAATCCGAATTCTTCGGCGAGGACTTCTAGTTCGTCCCGACGGAGTTTGTGGATCCAGCCGGTGCTGACCCCTGGGTTGGAAAAGTGTCCCGCAGGGTATACCTCCTCTGGTTGTTCATCGTCGTGATGTTCCATGTTGATTTCTGTTGATTTTTGGCACTGAGTCACTGTTAAACGGCACTTTTAGGATCGGCACTGCGTATACTTTCGCGTTTGTTTTCGCGCATGGATTATGTAAGTGCGCGGACTTGTTATCGATTCAATTTTCTTTTTGATGGCAGTGGGTCTTTAATCCACGAAGTCCCTGATTTCGGTTTTCTTGAAGTTTCCACGAAAAATCCTTTAAAGTCCCTGCTCGGGCGCCACTTGTAATGTCCTATTTCAGGCTGAGGTATGCATCAGCCTGTCCAGGGTCCTGAATTACAAGATATTTATAATTCACGAGGACTTTATCGGGAAACCAGGAACTTTGCCAGAAAAACTGAAATAGAAATCACAACACTTTTTGGTTCTTTTAATTTTAATAGTTTTTCTTTATTCTTCCGTATTCTTCCGTATGATTATTCTACCCGGTTATGTTAGGTTTTACTTGTACTACGACGCGGATGGTGATTTTGACTGCCTCTCGCGATGGCTGATTGACTGACTCCGACGATGGCTGGTGGACTCCCCTTTTCTTCATGCAAGGCAGTGCCTTTTATAGATCGGCCGGCCTTCGATTTTCCCATGAATGTCTTACAGATATCTTATTTCTACTTCAGAATGTGGGAAGGGTTCTTACATAAATATATATTGCCGAATTATAGTCTGCGCGTGCAGACAGGCTGATCGGTAACAGAAGGTTACCTAATCATTAGCCCTGCAGTCAGTGTCCAATATCCCCGGTAAGGAGAGTCGGAGACTGCTGACTGGCTTGCGCATGTGGGGGTTTTGCCCGGTAATCGAGGGTTACCTAAGCAATCGCCCCCCAAGAAGTGTCCAATGTCCCAGGTAAGGTGATCGGTGTGCACCGGTACCGTGGGAAAGGAATTTCGTTGGCACTTCGGGAATATATATTGTTAGGAATATTTATTTATTTAATATTATTTTAGGTACTTATTGCGTAAGCCCCTTCTGCTGGTCTCCTGTCTTTTGGCGTGTGCTGAGTTTGCATTTTTGCTGGGTGTTGATCGCTTCACCTGGGAGTAGCGTTGGCTGCGTCATCTGCTTGTGACGAACCATGGGATCCATGGTTCGTTACAGTAGTATGCAGTGCGGTATTTAAATACGGAATGTGGTACATTTATGCGGGGTGTAATAATTGGATGTATGGAATATTGCGGCCAACTATGGAAATAAATATATGAATGTATGGAAATATATGCAGGTATAGGAATAAAACACTTAATTTTAATTGTGGTTGCACTCGGAGTGTGCCAATATATATTTTTATTGGTGTGGGTCGTGCATGGAATGCACTTGGAGAGACACGGATGTTATTTTTTTTTTTTTTTTTTGTGTAGTGTGTTTGCGCCGATATCTGGGACTCTAACCCACTAAAACCAACCCGGCGGAACTGTCGCGAGATATTACTTCGCCGGGGGGAAATGCCTATACGCTCATCTATTTTAGAGTGTCTATTTCCTTTCCTTGCGTGCTCTTTCTTCGCGACGCAGCTTGGTAGTCATCACTGTGGCCATGTTGCTTATCGCAGCCCAGTTTTCTTCTGACTCCAGTAGTCCAGCTTGTTGACTTGTTGGTGAGGACTACCCGATCTTGCTCGAACCTTGGACATTCAGAGAAACAATGTTCCGCGTCTTCGGTGACCCGTGTGCAGAGCACACAGAAATGGTCATCCTCGTGCTTAAACCTATGCAGGTAGGATTTAAAGCATCCATGTCCTGTCAGCAATTGGGTCAGGTGGTACTCCACTTGTCCATGGCTACGGCTCAGCCAACTCTGCAGGTCGGGGATTAGCCTATGTGTCCAACGCCCTTTGCTGCTGGAGTCCCAGGCGCTTTGCCATTGCCGTATTGTGCGCTGCCTCGCGTCACCTCTGGTATCCTGGTCGCTAGTCCCTAGGTCACGTTGTGTCCTTATTCCTGCGGCTTCTGTTGCCAACAGGTGTAGAGGGATCATTCCTGCTACTACTAGTGCTGCGTCTTGCGATATGCTGAATGCACAGCATACTCTCAAGGCGCACACTCTCTGGACTGCGTTGCATTCTCGGGCATATGTTTTCCGTTTCAATGCATCGGCCCATATTGGTGCCGCATACATTAACGTCGAACTTACCACGCTCGCTAAGAGCTTCCGTCTTGGCTGTTTTGGCCCTCACGTGTTGCCATTATGCGAGATAGGGCAACTGCCGTCTTACCGGCTTTGCTGCTCGCATACTCCATGTGGTGCTTGAAACTGAGTCTATGGTCAATCATGACCCCCAGGTACTTCAGGCTTGGACTAGAGCTAATAGTGGAGTCACCTACTTGGATTGTGGCCGTCTCAACTATCTTTCTGCTGCTTATGAGCACCGCCTCTGTCTTATGGGTGGCTAATGTTAGGCCCCTCCTGGAAAGCCATGTTTTGGCTCGCTCTACAGCGTCATTGCTGATTCTTTCTGCCTCTTCTTTCAAATTTTGCCACTGCGACTACTGCTATGTCGTCGGCAAAACCTATCACCGTGGCACCCATTGGCATATTCATCTGTAGGATTCCATCATACATGATGCACCAAGGGTGCCACCCGACGATTGCCCAGTCATCCTCTGTCGATCTACGCACGTATCCCTTCCCCCGCAGACAAGTATCTTCCCAAAGGTGTCGCCCGGCGACTTCCCAGGTATCCTTGGGGATCGCTGCCGCTCCCCTCGCAAAGACCATTCTCTTCCCAAGGGTGCCGCCCGGCGAATGCCAAGGTATTCCTTGGGGAACTCTCTACCCCACCCCCTTAGACCAGTATCTTACCAAAGGTGCCACCCGGCGACTGCCCAGGTATTCTTTGGGGATCGCTGCTGCTCCCTCGCATAGACCATTCTCTTCACAAGGGTGCCGCCCAGGTATTCTGTGAAAGATCTCTGCCGCTCCACCCGCCCACTCGCCCCCTTGTGACTTCACAGAGGTGCCACAGGCGAGGATCTCTACGTAGATTCAAACTCCCTTCGCATGTTTTTCTTGGCCATGGTACCTAAGAGACGAAATCTCCGTCACATTGCCACTCAGGACTCGGATTCCCGGCAAATTATAAATATTGCTATTGTTTGATCGTAGAGGCGATGCGAAGTCCCAGAGATGAATTCCCAAAGATAAATACTATAGGCAGTTCCAATTTCTTCAGTAGATATATATTCGTTGGTTTTATCACTTATATGTAATAGTAGGTAGTCGCGTGCAAAAGCCGGCCGTTTTGCTTGGGGTGAAAAAGCGCATTATTCTAGATCGGTGGCGCTCAAGCTGCCGAGGGCTGTCGGCAACGAGAGCGGGAGCGTGAACGTGGGCGGGAGCGCAAGCGTGGTGAGTATGCGCGGGAGAGCGCGTCGCCGGGGGCAAAAATGCTCTTAAGTACGAGGGCGAGAGCGAGGGCGACCGCTTGTGTAGCTGGAACGCTAACAGCGATGTGTGGCTGGAATGCCCACAGAGCGGTTGCCCCGCCAGCGCCGTCTTCACTCTGAACATTCTCCCCCCCTTGCAGGTTTGCAAAAATTCTCTTAAGTCTGCGTGCACGCACCAGACACGATCCATCCAAACACCGTGCTTTGAGCCACGGGAAGGCCGTCTGCGCGGGCGAGAAACCCAGGTTGAATGACCCTTGGATACATATCTGCACCCAAGACGAGCAAGATGGTCGTCGGCTTGTGGAACTGCTCGTTGGCCAACTTCAAGTCGTCGAAGCGAGCACGGACGGTGTCGCTCAGTGGACGGATCGGCGTACGGACGCGCAGACGGGGCTCGATTTTGAAGACGGCCTCCACTTGGAAGTCTCCTGTCTTAGCCCGGATCATGGCGGTACACACCTTCTCGTCCCCGATGCAGGTGGTGGGCAACTTCAACCACTTCGGCGTCGATGCAGCTGACAGGCGTGCAGGGATCGATCAGCGCACTCATCACCTTAGTGCCTTGCTGCACTGCGAGGACCACCAGTGCCGTCGGGAGGACGTTGATGCTCCGGTGTTGGAGCAAGGAGTTTGCTGTCGGGGCTGGACTTCCGATGACAGGGCGGCTGACCGAAAGACGAGGGCGTGGCTCGGCGCGGGAAGACGGAGGTGAAGTCGACGGTGCCGAAGAGGAGCCGGCAGGGCGCCGAGTCCCGGGCAGGTGGAGCAGCGTGTGGTGGTTGCGCGTGCACACCTTACACAGGTCTCCACTGCGGCAGTCCTTGCCCGAGTGCTCGTGAGCCAGGCAGTTTGAGCAATATTTATGTAGGAGGACGGCTCGGAGTCTCTTCTCGACGCTCAAGCGGATAAATTTTCGGCAGTTCCTCAGTACTCCTGGACACACTCGGCATTGGAAGGAGGTATTACCTCGTGCAAGTGTGCGATCCGACCTGCGGCTGGATAGGGACCGTGGAAAGTTTGAGGGGGCCATATCTGCCTTCCGGAAAAAACTAGGATGAAAGAAAGGAGTCAACGAAGCATTAATAAAGAGCTGGCACGGGTTGGCATATGGATACTGATACGGATAGCTAAGCTGGATTTAAGCATAACAAAAGGACGGAGTCTTATGAATCGGAGCCTACGCGAAAGTAGGTGGAAAGGACCTCCGATTCCATAGGCAGCAGAACCACCTTCGTGATCGGTCTCTTGATAAGGCCGCGAACCGTGAGAAGGTCTACCACACGGACCTTATCATCGGCTCCAGGATACGCGTTCTGTACACGGTCGAGACGCCATTCCTGAGCGGGGATGTTCTCCTCCTTGATCACCACCAAATCTCCAACCTCGAGGTCGCTTGTCGGATGCTGCCATTTGTTACGCTTGTGCAACTCTCGCAGGTACTCTGTCTTCCAGCGCGAACAGAATTGCTGGTTGAGAGCCTTGACATGTTGCCAGCGGTTTAGGATGGAGGAGGCGCTCGCTTATATTTCTGGCTCTGCCACGGATAATAGCGGACCACCAATCAGTCGCGAACTCCTATAATGTGTGTTTGGACGTACACATCGACCGTTGGAACAGAGCCTTGAAGCTCTTCACACCTGCTTCCCACAAGCCCCCCATATGTGGGGCTCCGGGAGGGATAAACCGCCACGATAGCCCCTGCTGGCTTTACACCGCAGAAGTCCGAGTGCGAATGGCCTCGAGAAGCTCCACAGCCAGAGAGCGGGACGCGCCGACAAAATACCTGCCGTTGTCGGATTGAACTTCATGAGGATACCATCGTCTCGCGACGAAACGAGCGAAGGCGGCTAGGAAGGTGTCGGTGGATAAATCGGACGTATGCGACATGCGCGACCTGTGAAACTTTTCACGTCGAAGGGGCCGGCGAAGTCGACTCCGGTGTATGTGAACGGCCTGGAGAATGTGACTCGTGAGGCAGGAAGGTCGCCCATTAGTTGGGTTTGGAGTCGCTTACGATGGCCTCCTTTTACGCTTACGATCCAGTATGTTGCCCGGATAAGGCGGATGACCAGCTGGTTCCCACCATGTAGCGATATATGATGGGTGAATCGAACCAGCAGGCGAACCAGGAGACATGCGGGTGGCAACAGGATTGGATGCCGTTCGTTGTAGGACATGGACGCCGAGGCTTGGACTCGGCCACATGCCCGCATGACTCCGTTCTGGTCAAGGAACGGATAAAGATTCTGAAGAGAACTCGTAGTAGGGAGTGGCTGCTTGTTTAGCAGGCACCGATGCTCCCCAGCATAATGGAAGCGTTGGGTTGTCAGTGTGACCGCTTGGAGAGCGGCAGCGACCTTCATTCCGTTCAGCTCCTCGGAGACATGGGTCGTCTGCCCTTTAACTCGCTGGGTGAACCGCCGAACGTAGGCGATCACGCGCAGAGCGCCCCCGAGATCGGAGAAACGGCTGAGGATATCGGAGGCGCTGCTGGTGGCATGGTGTACCTTGACGACTCGCTTCTCCAGGTCAGTCTCAAGGACTGAGTCCCGCGGACATGGCCACTCCGATTTTGGACCACGCAACCAAGCAGGGCTATGCCACCACATATCACTTCCGACCAGGTCAGTGGGTCCTCGCCCTCGACTGGCCAGGTCGGCTGGATTGTCCTCGGATCGGACGTGGCTCCATCGCTCGCTGGGCCAACATAGAGTGATTTTGGCTACTCGATTGCCCACGAAAATGGTCCAATCGCATGCAGGTCTGTTCAGCCAGGCCAACACAACCGTGGAATCGGTCCAGAAGGATACTTGGCTGGTGTCCAGTGGCAGTTGAGGAATGATGGCCTCGGAAAGCTCTGTCAGAAGGACAGCTCCGCACAGTTCGAGTCGAGGCAAGGAAACCGTTTTCACGGGGGCCACGCGGGTTTTAGCTGTGAGAAGGGCACAGACAATGCCATGCGGTCGCTCAACTCGGATGTAAATCGCTGCCCCATAGGCACGTTGTGACGCGTCGCAGAAGCCATGTATCTGCACCTTGGCCATTGGACAAACGTGCAGCCACCGCGGAATGCGGATATCCTGGATGGCCGGAAAACTCTTCAGGAACGTCTCCCAGGTTTGAGATAGATCGCTAGGGAGGACGTCATCCCACCCTAACTCTCTTGGCCAAATTTCCTGCATGAACATTTTGGCTTGGATAACAAAGGGGGCAAGCCATCCCGCTGGATCGAACAGCTGCGCAATCTGCGATAGCACATTGCGCTTCGTACAGGACTCCCGCTGAAGTACTTCGGGAGGAGCAAAGAAGAATTCATCAGCACTGGCTTGACATCGGATCCCCAATGTCTTAGCGAAGTAGGTGGTCGACCGGAATGTCGCGCAGTATGCCCTTGTGGTTCGCTGTCCACTTTCGGAGTGGAAACCCTGCGGAGTCGAGTGCTTTGCGTAATTCTGAAATGGCGGAAATTGCCTGCGACTGAGTGTGAACACCAGCCAGCACGTCGTGCACGTACATGTAGCTCTACAGGATGTCGCTTGCCATTGGCAACTGTGGGCGAACCTCTTGTGCGAGTTGATTAATGTCGCGAAGGGCGAGGTACGGTGCGCAATTGACTCCAAAGGTGACAGTGGCAAGCTCGTAGTCACACACGTCCCCATTACGGTCGCGAGAGAGTATTCGCTGATGGGGCTTGTGTTGGGAAGACACTTGGATCTGGCGGTAAATCTTGCTGATGTCGGCATTGAAGACATAGCGGAAGGCTCGCCACCTCAGGATTTGCATGGTCAAGTCAGACTGAAGGACTGGCCCCGAATGCAATGTGTCGTTGAGGCTTTTCCCGTTGGAAGACGGGCTGGAGGCGTTGAAGACCACGCGCAGTTTGGTTGTGGTGCTTTCGGGTTTGAACACGGCGTGATGTGGAAGGTAGTAATGGCCGGAGTCATGACTGGGTGTAACCGCTATCATGTGGCCTAGCTCTAAATATTCCTGGATAACGGCGTCGTACTGCTCTTTGAGCTTTTAGCCCCCATCGGGGGCTCGTTTAGTGGTCTGGCGGAAGTTTTCCTCGCACACAGAATCTGACTCACTCGTCGGTCTCCCCGGAAGGTCCTCCACTTCCCAGAATTTGGTGAGAAGCTTCACGAGTTGGACATCCGAATCTAACGAGAGCTTCGTGGTGAAGGCGGAAACCGTCCGAGTCGATTCAGCTGATACCGGACCGGATAGGACCCATCCGAAGATGGTCTCTTGTCCCAGCAGCGAGCCGCAAATGTCAGACCGGAAGCCGCTCAACAGGATAGAAGGAAGGATGTCAGCGCCTAAAAGCACATCAATCTGCGAGCTTCGGTGGAAGGAGGGGTCTGCCAGCGGGAGGTTTGGAAGCTCGTCCAAGAAGTGCTGCGGTATCGGATATGAGGGTAGGTTACCTGCTAGTTGAGGCAGAACATATGCCATGGTCTCGATCTTGAGGCCAGGCCTGGAGGCGGCCCCGATCATGAAGTGACAGCGCCTTTGTGCCTTAGCCGCTACGGTTTGGTTTAAACCTGTGACTTGAGCCTGTATGGCTTCGAACGGTGGCTTAATAATGTTAAAGAGACGTTCAGTGATGAACGTCGCTTCGGAGCCTGAGTCAATCAGTGCGCGGACAGGGAAATTGGACCCCAGGTGGCAAATATTAATGAGTGCCGTGCCCAGAAGAACGGTACTTGTGCTGGAGGCGAAAAGTTCTGTACGTTGGGCTGAGATTCGGATGAGCTGGGGTTTGGGCGGATGTCGAAGCCGTTACGCCGGATGAAGGAGCGACACGATGCAGAAGCGTGTGATGCCTGGCCCCACAAGTGGAACAATTGTGGCTGCTGGAGCAGTCGCGAAGCAGATGACTTCTTGCGAAGCAATTTAGGCCAAGCTGCTTTTTTTAATGCAGCTGGAACGTGCATCAGCGGACATGTTGAGAAAGCGGGGACAAACTCGAATCGGGTGATTCTCTTTGGAACAGAGGTCACACGTTCGCTTCTTCGGACTCACTTGGGTATTGAAAGAGTGAACCTTGTTTGGCGTCGGACTGCCTTGCGAACGGAATGGATTGGAGTGGTTTCGAGAGGTGGGTGGATTTTGGACGCCTTTGGAGGGGGGCGGATTCGTAGCCCCTCGTGAGGTGGAAGGGTCGCTCTCAATAGCCTCGAGCGTCAGATAGCACTGAGTGAGGAAGGAGTCGATTTCCTTCCAGGGCGGCACCTCTTTTTTCTCCGTTACGGACGCTACCCACAACGCCCGGCTCAACTTCGGCAATTTGGAAGCGCAGCTTCCCCAGCTGTCCGTGCAGACGTTAGAGACCGCTAGCGCATTTAGGACTCCTTGCATCGTACTTTGAAGATCCTTCAAGGCACGACTGCACTCGGAAGTCACGCGGGGCAAAAAGAGGAGAATGTTAATTTGGTTGGTCACCACAAACCGATTGTTCTCATATCGGCTACGGAGAGCCAACCATGCGGACTCGAAACCGTCATTAGTGAGGGGGGATTTCTCTACGATGGCCTTCGGATCGCCCCGGGTCTTCTCGGTGAGGTAGTACAACCTCTCTACCGGAGACAATCTAGGATTGTTGATCACGACCGCAGTGAACAGATCCCGGAATGTGGGCCAGCGGACGTAGTCCCCTGAGAATGCCTCAATGTTGACGGGAGGCAGTCGACAGCCGCCCTGTTGGACTGGCTGTGAAGGAGGAAGAACTGTGGATGTGGCCAGTTGGGCATTGAGGTCTCTGAGGCACTGCTCAAATATCCCATAGCATTCGCCGTATGTGTCACGGATGTCCGCTTGGATTTCTGGCTCCTCGTCAGTCATCACCGCGGAGCAGGCCTTGTACTCGGCCTCGACGTCCGTCCTCATGCTGATTTGGCCTCGACGGACCTCGGACAAAGAGGCGGATGGGGCGGCGGTGATGCGCTCTGCCAGGTGCGACAGTCGGCCAATAGCGGCGGACAATTTGGTCCGAGCGACTGAGGTGGCGGATTGAGCCATTGTGATGCAGTGGCGAGAGCTGACGGGGCTGCTGACGAAGGAGCCCTTCGGATCTTGTTTGGTCACACTGGAACCTTAAGAGTGACAGGAGACGGGAACAGAACCGATTTGGTCCTTGCCGCAGGGCTGCTCTCGGAGTGAGGGGTGCCTTGATTTTCTGAGTCGGCGTAGTTCCGGAGGCGGACGAGGTGCGTAGCCGGTTGGAAGAGGTCACAGGCAAAAGCTGGTTGCCGTCCTTGTGACCTGTTGGCATATTCCCAGATCACACACGTTTCGAAAAGATAACCCAGTTACGGACGGCTGGAAGAGAAAAAGGCCTAAAGCTAGCATGAATGCAATAATCAGATCGACTCGGATTGTTTGAGATCACCTGTAGGTGTGAGGTCCCAAACAATGAGTGACCTTATATTGAGCTGAGCTGAGGAGAGGAACGGTCCACCAGTGTGGTGGTGGCAATATTTTGGGAAATATTGTTAGTTAGTTTGTTTACCCCTTTGAAGGAATCGTGAGAAGAACCGGGTTATTGGCGGATGGAAGGCGGATGGACGGTGGACGGAAGTGACACGGACACCACACAAAAAATAAATAATGATTTTCTTATCAAAAATAAATTTTCTGATTGTGGAAAATGATCACTCCATCAATCAACCAATTCAATCAAAACAATCAATTAAATTAATCAATTCAATCAAATCAATCAATCAATGTGATTTATTTATTGTTCCACTCGTGTATAGATGCCGATAGTTGGGCCTTGGATTGGGCCACCTCTGATGCACGGAACAAAAACAAAAAAAAACCGAAACACCAATTTGCCAATTGGGAGTGGAAATTGCCAAATAATTACTATTAGTGCGCCGTGCCTTGGTCGCGAGTAATTTATTTGGAAAGTGGAGAATATTGGAGTTGGGGTAGCGGTCGAGAAATGTGGCTGAAGTGCACGAATTGTACGAAATCTGGAATTTAATATTAAATTTGGCACTTGCGCGGAATATGTATGTAGTGTATGTGTGTGCAGTATTTAAATACGGAATGTGGTATATTTATGTGGGGTGTAATAATTGGATGTACATTTATAGTCGGCAATATGGAATATTGCGGCCAACTATGGAAATAAATGTATGAATGTATGGAAATAAATGTAGGTATAGGAATAAAACAAGTTAAAAATAAATGTGGTTGAACTTGGAGTGTGCCAATGTATATTTTTATTGGGGTGGGTCGTGCATGGAATGCACTTGGAGAGACACGGATGGTTTTTTTTTTTTGTGTGTGTTCTGGAAGCTCTATGCCGACTTAGCGCCGAAGTGTGGGACTCTAACCCACTAAAACCAACCCGGCGGAACTGTCACGAGATATTACTGCGCCGGGAGGAAATGCCTATACGCTCATCTATTTTAGATTGTCTATCTCCTTTCCTTGCGTGCTCTTTCTTCGCGACGCAGCTTGGTAGTCATCACTGTGGCCATGTTGCTTATCGCAGCCCAGTTTTCTTCTGACTCCAGTAGACAAGCTTGTTGGCTTGTTGGTGAGGACTACCCGATCTTGCTCGAACCTTGGACATTCAGAGAAACAATGTTCCGCGGTGAACCACGGTGACCCGTGTGCAGAGCAAAGCATCAATGTCCTGTCAGCAATTGGGTCAGGTGGTACTCCACTTGTCCATGGCTACGGCTCAGCCGTCGTCAGCCAGGTCGGGGATTAGCCTATGTGTCCAACGCCCTTTGCTGCTGGAGTCCCAGGCGCTTTGCCATTGCCGTATTGTGCGCTGCCTCGCGTCACCTCTGGTATCCTGGTCGCTAGTCCCTAGGTCACGTTGTGTCCTTATTCCTGCGGCTTCTGTTGCCAACAGGTGTAGAGGGATCATTCCTACTACTAGTGCTGCGTCTTGCGATATGCTGAATGCACAGCATACTCTCAAGGCGCACACTCTCTGGACTGCGTTGCATTCTCGGGCATATGTTTTCCGTTTCAATGCATCGGCCCATATTGGTGCCGCATACATTAACGTCGAACTTACCACGCTCGCTAAGAGCTTCCGTCTTGGCTGTTTTGGCCCTCGCGTGTTGCCATTATGCGAGATAGGGCAACTGCCGTCTTACCGGCTTTGCTGCTCGCATACTCCATGTGGTGCTTGAAACTGAGTCTATGGTCAATCATGACCCCCAGGTACTTCAGGCTTGGACTAGAGCTAATAGTGGAGTTACCTACTTGGATTGTGGCCGTCTCAGCTATCTTTCTGCTGCTTATGAGCACCGCCTCTGTCTTATGGGTGTTGTGATTTCTATTTCAGTTTCTGGCAAAGTTCCTGGTTTTCCCGATAAAGTCCTCGTGAATTATAAATAACTTGTAATTCAGGACCCTGGACAGACTGATGCATACCTCAGCCTGAGATAGGACATTACAAGTGGTGCCCGAGCAGGGACTTTAAAGGATTTTTTGTGGAAACTTCAAGAAAACCGATAACAGGGACTTCGTTGATTAAAGACCCACTGCCATCAAAAGAAAATTTAATCAATAACAAGTCCGCGCACTTATACAATCCAGGCGCGAAAACAAACGCGAAAGTATACGCAGTGCCGATCCTAAAAGTGCCGTTCAACAGTGACTCAGTGCCCAAAAATCAACAGAAATCAACATGGAACATCACGACGATGAACAACCAGAGGAGGCATACCCTACGGGACACTTTTCCAATCCAAGGGTCAGCACCGGCTGGATCCACAAACTCCGTCGGGACGAACTAGAAGTCCTCGCCGAAGAATTCGGATTCGGCAGCGAAGGAACGGTCGATGGGGGGCCACTCGCGCAAGAAGCCTGGGTTCGCCTAGAAGAGTTCGAGAGGCACTATGCGAAACCAGCCTCACGCTCTCATTCCAAGTCACCACTGCCCACTACTCCTGGACCATCCGACACTCGCCAAATGGATCCTAAGACCGGATTAC